TCCTCCTCCTCCTCCTCCTCCTCCTCTCCGGTGGAGGCTCTGCCCTCTGCGCTGACTTTGTCCCCCTCCATTCTGACCCACAGAGGGCACGGTTCCTGGCAAATGGCTGGGAGACGGCCAACGCCATGGACATGATGAAAGTCTACAGCTGTCTGCCGCCGGCTGATGTCAAAAGGTGTGTTCTGCCAATAAGGGCTGATTCATTCCTGTCAAAAGGTAAAGCCCTCCTCGTCCTGGGTGGGTGGGTGGGGGACACCCGGGGGGGCTGTCCGGCCAGCCCGTCTCTTTGAGCCTTTGGCTGTTTCCACAGTCGCCTGTCCCCTTCCATGGCTGGTTATTCCCTTTGAGCCAGCACGGCTCAGTGGGATAGAGCTGCGAGGTTCATATACCGACTGGGTGGCCGTGGGCCCGTCAGAAGCTCTCGGCCTGGCCTACCTTGCAGGGTGGTTGTTGTGAGACGGGCGGAAGTGAAGGCAGTGTCCTGCACGGCTTTTGAGTTCCCGCTGCGGAGGGAAGCGGGGTGTGAATAAGTGCAAAGGATGCAAGTGTGGGGCAAGGAGTCTGTAAGAGAGGGAGTGCTGGCCCCCCTGGGCAGCTGTCCGTGGACCTCCCCCCTCCACCCAGCAGTTAGGCCGGCCCTGAACACCACAGCGTCTTGGCACTGTAGCTTTTCCTCCCTTTCTGCTGTCGCAGGATGATTGATCCTCCCGTTTGATTGCCTCAATGTCCTGCCCATCCTTTAGAGGCATTCATGAGGTTCCCGTTTCCTCCTGGTTGCCTCCTCATGAGTAGAGCAGGCTGAACAGAGACTGGCTGGCTCCCGGCTCCCGTGGTGAGCTTCCCGGTTGAGCTGGGGGTCCCTCCTCCCGTGGGAGAGAGAGGCGATCTTTCCTCCTCCTCCTCCTCCTCCTCTGTATGTGCCGCGAAGAGCCCTGCGGTCTACCGAGCAGCATCACTTCACAGTCCCTGGCCTGAAGGACGTTCTCCTTGCCTCAACCGGGGCCAGGGCTTTTTCTGCCCTGGCCCCCACCTGTTGGAACACGCTCCCGGTTGACATCAGGGCCCTACGGGATCCATCTCAGTTCCGCGGGGCCTGCAAAACGGAGCCGTTCCGCCAGGCGTTTGGCCGAGGCAGCGGATATCCAAATCACACCAGCCTTCCCCGCCCCAGTCTTGCCTGCCTTATCTACCGCAGGGCACTGCCTGTAACAGCGTGTCGTCAGTTATCGACAGGAACGTGCCCTCCCTGACGTTGCAGCGAGCCCTGTTCTTAGAAATTTGAAGAAAGTCCTGTCTGACAATACAGAACTGTGGAGCTGGAAGGCATTGAGTCCAACTCTGAACTAAGGGGTTTGGCCCAGACTATCTGACTGACAGGGAAAAATAAACGCTTAAGGAAAGCAGATACAGAAAACTTTCCCTGATGGACCTTGGGGAAAAGGGGTTTTTTGGTCCTACATAATGTTAATGTTGTGCTGCGGTGGCTCAAGTGGTTAAGACGCTGAACTGCAGGCTGGAAGGTCGGTAGCTCGGCAGTTCGAGACCCATGTGCCGCAGGACGGAGTGAGCTCCCGTCTCTGGGCCCAGCTCCTGCCAACCTAGCAGTTTGAAAGCAAGAACTTGCAAGTAGATAAATAGGTACTGCTTCGGTGGGAAGGTAACAGCGTTCTGTGCACCTCGGCGTCTAGTCATGCCGGCCACATGACCACGGAGAAGTCTGCGGACAGCGCTGGCTCTTCAGCTTGGAAATGGAGATGAGCACCACACCCCTAGAGTCGGATTCGACTGGCTTTTGAGCAAGGGAAACCTTTACCTTTATCTAATTTTAATGTTACAACAGAGATAGCAAAATTACTGCATCATCAGGTTTGCTGGTTTGTTTTGAAATCTTGATAGTGGATTTTTCACACAAACCTAGCTTGATAAGCCTGAAGCTGGTTGGCTTACATGTACTTTTGATTGATACATGTAACATATGTATGAGGTAGCTACATAGGACTGCTGAGCGGAGAGAAAATCTAAGTTACCTTTAAAAAAAAAAAAAACCCTACCGTTGTTTGCTAATGAAGCAGTAACAGCGTTTCCTGATGTTTCTGGCTTATCTGCATATTCCTAAAAGGTTCATCGGCAAAAGCAGTCCAACCTGCTCTTTACATTAGGGAAGACTCTTTACCATCATTATAAAAGCATCTAGCATGTAAAAAAAATAAAAAGACATTTGAAGCTGCCATTAGGGATTGTTTTTAAGTCCTTTTATCTAGACAGATGGTTTAACGTTTTTAATGAATTCACTATTTGATTTTATCTTGTTGCGAGCCGCCCTGAGCCCCCTTGCGGGGCAGGGCCAGATAGAAGCAGAATAAGATGAATAAATAAATAGATTTCTCTGTCCTGTGCAGGATAGAGGCCCTGGAGTTCCTTGACGAAAAGGAGCTGTTGGAGCAGCTGATGCAACACTACTGCCTCTGCTGGGCAACCAAGGACACCTGCAGTCTGGGTATGTCCCCCGTCCCGTCCCCCCCCCCCCCCCCCCCCCCCCCCCGTCTCCTACGCTGTCTTGGAACGGCCCGGGGAGGGTCTCGGGGAGGCCCAACCCTGCCTCCTAGATGGAAAGGGGAGGGTGGGCGATGCTTGCTTGTGCTTTTCTACCCAACCAGCGCAGAGCTTGTTCGGCAAGGGTCACATCGCACTGTTCCCTCCAGGCTGAGCTAGTGTGAGTCGGCTCACCGTTTTTTAGCCTCCGGCTCACACATTTTAGTCTCCGCTCACTGGAAGGAGGGCTCCAGAGCAAACTGATTGATGCAGCAGCCAAATGGCTCGCTCACAACTTGGACGCCAGCAGCTCACAAAGTAGAGCTGGTCACCTGGTCCTTTCAACTGCAGCTGCCAGGAATTGAACCTGGGACCTTCTGCGTGCCAAGCAGGTGCTCTGCCACTGAGCCCCGCCCCCTATCTCAGAGCTGGCTTGCCGGCCTTGCCCTCTTTGCGTCCGCAGGTGTTTTGCTTGGGATTCTGCCTCTTGGCTTTCTCCCTCCGTGTTCCTGTAGGTCCAGCTCTTGACTTCAAAGCAGATGTCACTCAGTATGCTTTTCCAGTTTCCCTTTGTAAAAGTTTTGGCCCGTCCCCCCTTCATATCAAGAGTCTGAGGCCTGACCTGGATAGCCCAGGCAAGCCCGATCTCATTAGATCTCAGAAACTGAGCGGGGCCGACCTTGGCAACTACTTGGAAGGGAGACCTCCAAGGAATACCCGGGCCGGGACGCAGAGGCAGGTCATACCAAGCCAACTCTTTGAAGCGCCCGAGCCCCACTAGGGTCACCAGAAGTCACCATGACTTCCAAGCTCGCAAGCACACACACACACGCACAATACCCACAGCCCTCAGTCCCATGGCCATTTCGTGACCTCCTTGAATGCCAGGGCTGGGACTGCAGGGGAGAGAGAGGGGGTTGGATGCTCGCTCTGCTTTCCCCGGTGGGGTGTTTGATTCCTCTTCAGGCCTATCTTGGTTTTGGGCGCGGAGGTCTGTGTCCTCGGTCTTGTCCCGGTGTCCTGTGAGCCAGCTACCTGGCTTGTTGAACCGGCCGAAGCCCAACAGGGCTGCCCTCTCTTCTCTTCTTCTCTTCTCCCAACAGGTCTTGCAGACATCGGCCTGTAGCGCGTTTGCTCCAGTGGAGCTCTGGAGCTGGAGGCCAGCCTGCTGCCTGCTCCCCCCCCCCCCCCCCCCCACGCACACACACTGAAGAAAAGTGATGTTGATATAAATGCCCTTGGTAGGGAATGTCTTCTGCTGCTTTGATTCCTTCCTCTCCCGTGTGGGCCAGAGAGAGCAGTGGAGTGGGGGGGGGTCTCCCCCTCTCACCATCTTGCAACAAACCGTCTCCCCTCTGTGAACAGCCAGACTAAACACGAGAGTCTCTTCTTCCCCTTTCCAAGGGACCTGGATTCCGGAGCGGTTTTGAACATTCACCCTTTGCTTCTCAATGCCCGTTTGCACTGGACTGTCTCGTCTCGGCCCACCCTCTGTCTCACTGGTGGAGCAACTCTGGGGCTGTGCGGGGAGGCAGGCGCCCTCCCTGAACGTGTCTGGAGGCTCTTTCCTGTGTCCGTCTCTCGTGGAGTGCTTGCGCCTGGTGTGCTTCCGCCCAGTGTTAAGGCGCTTGGACCTGCCGCGTGAGCCGGGAGGGCTGTGCGTTTGACACCGGAGACCCCCAGTTGTGGCTTCCCCCCCAGGCCGAATCGAAACGTGTTTGTGACCTTCCGGCTGCCGGGATGAATAAATGTTGGATCTTGGTGATCTTGTTGGAAGCGCTCTTTGTCACCCCTGCTCACGGCTGCCCAGTGTCGTTGGGGAAAGGCGTGTGGCGGGCAGGCGATGCTGTTGGTGGCCACCATGGGTGCAGCACCCCCAGCCAGTGCCTTTTGGGAAAGGGTGTGAAGGGGGTGCAGAAGGCCGAGCGTGGGCCATGGGAGGGTTTCCGAGGGGGAGAAGGGTAAGGGGCGTGGAAAGATGCAGGGAGGTGGGAGTCACACACATTCGCCCCAACCTACTCCTGGGATGGTCATTGTGAGGGTAAAATGAAGGAGAGGGGGGCAGTTTGGTGTAGCGATTAAGTGCACGGACTTTAATCTGGGAGAACTGGGTTTGATTCCCTACTCCTCCACTCGCACCTGCTGGATGACCTTGGGCAAGCCATAGTTCTGACAGAGCTGTCATTGAAACAGCCATTTCTGTCAAGAGCTCTCTCAGCCCCACCTACCTCACAGGGTGTCTGTTGTGGGGAGGGGAAGGGAAAGGAGTTTGTAAGCCACTCTGAGACACCTTTGGGTAGTGAAGGGCGGGGTATAAATCCAATCTCCTCCTCTTCTTCAATAATATTTATTTTATTTTATTAATTCGATTTTCATCCCACCCACCCTGCCGAGGCAGGCTCAGGGCGGCTTACGTTAAAAGGTCAAAAATATATTGAAACACAAGTGCTTATACTGTGCAACCTCATAAAGTACAAAGCGAACCAGATCATAGCACAAAACAGAGTAAAGCGCTGGTGGCGGCAGCGTCCCGGTGGCCATAATAGGATGTTCCCGAGAATCCCCCCCCCCCCCCGCACCCCAAACACCCGTTAGCATAAAGGGCCTTAACAATTCAGATAGTGGTGTTGATGTTGTTAGGGGAGGCTCCTAATCGAAGGCCTGGTGGAAGAGCTCCGTTTCACAGGCCCTGAGGTCAACCCACCTGACTTCTAGAGGTGGTAGCAGCGGGACTGGCCTTTGTTGAGAAGGGGTCCGCTGGGGGGAGGGGGGAGAGTAAGAGAGGCTGTCATTGGCATAGGGGATGGGTCTCCCTTCAGTAGCCGGGGGGGGGGCGATGTTTTTAAAATGGAAGATGCATTGGAAACCGGGATCGCAGTGTACACTGGGAGGGTTTCTAGCTCTGCACCACCTTTTGTTCAGACCCGGTTGTTCTTGCCACACTTCAGGCACTTCCTTCTCAGAACGCCACGCAAAGGTGTCCCCCCCCCCTCCCATTTCTGCTGCTGCTCCTTTTGCCTTCCATACCCAGGACTCGGGCAAAAGATGTGGCTTCCCGGTCCGTGGGGCCTGAGTTTAGGGGTCCCTCGGGGGGCCCCTGGCCCCAGGGCGGGGGGGGGGGGGTCATGTTTTAAAAGTTTGTTTTCGACCAGGATGCAAAAGGCTGGTCTCGGGTGGTTGTCTCCCCCCCCCCTTTGTGCTGACCTCCGGGAACGGCCCCCCCTCGCCTTGCCGAGCCATTCCTGGCTGTGTGTGCGCGTGGGGGAGGGGGTTATCAACCAGGATATTAAACCCAGGGGCCTGCTTTGTTCTGAATTGGGAAGGAGCTGCGTTTAGAGTTGAGAACCGTCCAGTTGACGGATTTCTGTGCCTGCTCGTTTCTATTCCTACAGCTTGTCGATTTGAGTCTGCAGCTTGGTGTAGTGGTTAAGTGCGCAGACTCTAATCTGGGGGGGACCGGGTTTGACCTTGGGCAAGCCATAACTCTGGCACAGCTGTTCTTGAAAAAAAGCAGTTTCTGTCAAGAGTTCTCTCAGCCCCACCTACCTCACAGGGTGTCTGTTGTGGGGAGGGGAAGGGAAAGGAGTTTGTAAGCCGCTCTGAGACACCTTTGGGTAGTGAAGGGCGGGGTATAAATCCAATCTCTTCTTCTTCTTCGTCTAGATCGGTACCTTTGTCTTCCTGGGGGTTCGGGCAGGGCAGCTGGGGTGGTGGTGGTGGAATGCGGCTTGTCTGTCCTAGGGTGCCGGACACTTCCCCTCGCCCCCTCGCGCCTGCCTCCCATGGGAATTCTTGGGCCTGCTTCCTTTGCTGACTCAGCAGCCTCTCCCCGCCTGCCTTGGGTAGCCAAAATACCTCTCTGCCAGCAGCAATCGCGAGGGCCTATGAAATGAGATCTCTCCCCCCCCCCGCGCGCGCTGGTCTAGGTCTCTTGGAAGAGGAGCGCCATCCATGAAACTTTCCTCTCCCAAGTGAACAGAGGCAAGGAGGAGTGTGCCCTAGTGGGCAGGGCTGGCGCTAAGAGGACTGCGGCCCTGTCTCAGCCCAGTCGGGCTTTAGGTCTCTGCAGCTTGGAGCCCCTACGCCTGAGCCCCTCCCCCCCCCCCCCCCCCAGGCACACCTGTGCTCTTTCATTGTCTCGAGGCAGAAATTCTTCAGGAAGTTGGTGTCCTATCACCATTGTTTTTTTAAAGAGAAGTTTTGCAAAGGGTTGGCACGCTGATAAACCCTGTTTATTTGGACAGTGCAGCTGCCAAATTCTTGGGGCTTTTTTTATCAGTACTGGAGTTTGGGTCACAGAGTGACTGCTGGCTCTCGTGAACGGCCTTTCCCTCGCCTTAGCATACTTAGCAGGCGAACGTCTGAGCGGCCCTTACCTGCTTGCTGGGGCTCCTGTTCTGGCATCTTCTCACCAAGTAGGAGGGGTGGGATCGGCTTGGAACGCGCAACCGGGAGTTATGAAAGGCCCTGAGCCAAAGCAGCTGTGTTTTTCAGGGCATCGGATGGCCCACCTCCTGCGCCTGGCAGCTGCTTCCGAAAAGTTTCAGCAGGGAAGGATCCATCCTGGCGCCTGAACCCCTTTCAGCCGGGGAGGTGGGGGGCTGAACCGGGGAATCTTCCCCGTCCAGGACACCGTGTTCGACCACTGAGCTGTCATCTCGCTGGTGTTAGGGCCAGGCTCTTTCTTTGACTCAGGAGCCGCCTGCGTAAAGAACAGCTTTTATCCACTCCCAAGTCCTCACCTGTGCCGCTGGGGGCGTAGGTGGCCCAGATGTATGTTGGGGCGCCCGTGTCTCCTGTTTTTTGGGGGTGTGGGGGGGAGGACTGCAAAGCCATGCCTACCCCCCTGCTTCCTTACTCATAGCGGAATTGCCCAGAAGAACCTGAAGGGCTTCTTGGCAGTGTTCCCTCTAAGCTGAGTTAGTGTGAGCTAGCGCACAGTTTTTCAGCCTCCAGCTCACCCGTTTTTGTCTTCGCTCAGGAAGGAGGGCTCGGGAGCCAACTAATGTATGCAGCGGCCCAATCTAATGTACGCAGCAGCTCACACGACTTTAATGCCAGTAGCTCACAAAAGTAGAATTTTTGCTCACAAGACTCCACAGCCTAGAGCAGTGGTGGCGAACCTATGGCACGGGGGCCAGTGGTGGCACTCAGAGCCCTCTCTGTGGGCACCCGTGCCATCGCCCCAGCCAGGCCCAGACCATCATTAAAGTGTCGAATTCTCTGCCAAATAATTTTTAAGTCAATGAAAGCTTTTGGGATCGCTTCCCTTACTTTGTTTGGATCATCTTGAGTTAATGTATGAGTTGGTTTTTTCTCAAGTAAAACCTCAGTATTCAGGTTAAACTGCCGTGTTGGCACTCTGCGATAAATAAGCGAGTTCGGGGTCACAGTCTGGGCACTCGGTCTCTAAAAGGTTCGCCATCACTGGCTTAGAAGGAGCATTGCTTTTCAGCAGTCCAAGGTTTGGGCAAGACACCGGGTGGGTCACCCAGAGCTCCTCTTGATCTTTGGGGATTCTGCGGCGGCACCAGGTAAAACCCCAAATGTCGGTTGCCAAGACAAAGCACGGAGACACACACACACCCCAGCCCACACACACACACACACCGGCTGCGCTCGACTTCTGGACGGCCTGTTGCAAATGCGTCCTGACAGCTTTTGCCGGGAGCCCCCCTTGCCGCTAGGCTGGAGCCTGCGGGAGAGGCTGCAGCGTCCTTCCCGGTACACTCGCCACCTCCCGCCGCAGCCGTGAAGGGCCTTCCAAGGAGAAACGGGGCTTCCCCTGCCGCAGCCTCCTCTGCCCGGCTACCCAATCGCGTTCCCGGAGACTCCGGCTGTTGCCATGTGCTCAGAGCATCTCGCCTGCCGGAGGCATCCTCAAGTCAGCAATTCTCCCCCGCCCCAAACTCTGCTGCTAAGTGGCAGCTTGCAACGCGCAGCGATTACTGTTCCTAATGCATCTCTGCCTGCCTTGTTTTCTCCGGGAGCCCCCGTACTTCTCGGGGACTAAAATAGCCGCACTGCACACAGCGCGGTTTCCGGAGCAGAGCTCTCTCTGCCTCTCCTAAGCCAACTATTACATAATTCCTGGAAAGGGAGAGATGCTGAAGCGCTCTCGGAGCAGAGGCTGTCTGCGTGAGCCCCATCTGCCAGCCCAGTCTTCCTCCACCTGGGGGAAAAGACTAGG